AGGGGTTGGAGCTGAATGAGCTTTAAGGTCCTCTCCAAACCATTCCATGATTCTTTGATAAGCATGGTTTGCTGCTGGGCCACTCTCTGGGTGGTGGATGGGAGCTGAGGCCTGGCACAGCTGGTTGTCATGTTTCTCCTCGGGTGAATCACCAGCTCCGGGTTCACCTGGCCTATGGCTTGGGCTGCCCCATCCTCGGGGATCACAAATATTCCCACTGGAGCAAGTTGGCACCTCAGGTAAGGCAGGTCCAGTGTTGCGTGGGCAGCCAGAGCCAGATCCACTTCCAGCAGCCCCTGTGTGTCCCCCAGCTCCTCATGGGCTGAGGTTTCCAAGTCCCATCTGAAGGGCTGGGGTTGTAGAAGGGACCTTTTCTGTCCTTACCACAGAAGCTTCCCAAAATCACCTTGAAGAGGCTGAAGCTGGAGCAGAGCAAAGCTCGCCACCTCCCACTCCACCTGCATGCCCTCCGGCTCTCCCTGCCCCTGGGCGAGCGGCTGGACCTCGTCTGCAAACCACCCCCTTTCTTCCACAAGACTCTGAGGAACCTGGAACTGGAATTTACCAAGGACTAGCAGGGCAGGAAGGCAGAGGAGCATGTATCTCCACATCCCCGGCACGTGGAAGTGGTCCTGCTGCTTGGCACTGGTGTCCACCTTGAAGACAGTGGTGGGATGAAGTCAAAGGTCCCTGCCACTTGCCAGACACCTCCTGTGTTGGTATTGGGCTCCAAACCAGGTACCTGTGGGTGCTTCTTGCCCTGATTTGGTGCAGAAAAGCAGCTGGGCACACTGAAGAGACACTAGTTTGGTCAAATGAGGCTGTGTAGAAACTGGGCTTTGCCCGGTTGGTTGGAACTTGTCTCTGAGCAATAAATGGTCCCGTTGGTGCCGAGGCGAAAGGCTGCGTGTCTCTCTGCTTGGTCCCCAGGGAGGTTTGAGGGCTGTCACACAGCCTTCCAGTGCTATTTAGAGTCTCTCCCTCCTATCCTGGCACTGTGCGCTCCAATCTGGAGAGTGCCTTCCTTGGAAAATCCATGGAAAGTGCAATTTGGCAGCGGCTGCACTGGGAATTCCTCTGCTTGGCTTGGCTGAGCAGCTCCTGCAGTGTCAGTGCTGGTTTCTGGGCACAGACTATGCTTCTGGGAGACACTTTCCTGTTCCTCTGCCCCTTCCAATTCCCCCATTGCTTCTGGATCCCATTATCCCTCGGGAGCTGCCTTGGAGCCACATTCCTTCCCCTGTGCCCCGAAACTGAAAAGCTGAGGAATGGCAGCACCAGCGTTTCGTGTCTCTTGGCCTATCCCCAAAGCACAGGTTGGTTTGGGTGCTGGAAAAGGCTCTTCGGCTCCTGTGGGGCTACCACGTACCTTGCTGGGGTGTCTCAACACCCTGTCCCCTGCCACCCTGTGCCTCAAGTGGGTAAAAATAGCTGAGGACCCCCCACCCTCCTCAAAAGCACCCAGAAATACATCTGCTTATGAGAGAGGGATGCAAAACCACACGGAGCCGGGCTGGAATTCCGCCTTCCCAGCCTGGTGCCACAGCTGCCTGGGGGTTTTGTTTTCTATTTCAGGCCGTGCTGTTTGGGAAGAGGCTTCCCCCTGTAATTACCAATGGATTCCAGGCGGTGTCTGAGCTGTCCTTCCAGCTGCCTGGTAGGGATGGCTTGGCAAGAGATGCCTCCAGCCCTACAAAGCCACTCCTTGAGCTGGGCACACCTCACACAACACCAGAGCCCCCAGGCAGCAGCAGCAGCAGCAGCACCATCATCTCCTCTAGCTCCATACAAAGATGTCCCTCTCGCACACAGCCGCTGAGTACATGCTCTCCGATGCTCTCCTCCCAGATCCCGGCGGATCCCGAGCCAAGGGCCTGCAGCTGGAGCTGCCCAGTGATCGCCTCCTGAAATTCATCACTGTGGGGCTGCCCCTCTTCCTTGTCTCCCTGGCTTTTGCCCGGGAGTTCACTGCTGGTGAGTCCTGGCTTTTGCAATGGGGAATCTTCGGGATACGGTTTGCTTGTTGCTGGGAAAACCTCGTGGTCTCACCGGTGTGGTCCGAGGTGGGGCAGCCTGGAAATGCTGGTTTAGGAATCATTCTGCCTCAGGGATTTTATTGATTGGTTTTAATGGATGATTGGGAGGAGCCATGCTAAACCCCAGCACCAGTGGTGGATCAATGCCCCACCTCAGCTGCTTGCCCCCAGCACCTTTGGGTGCTGCTGGTGAGGAGGAGGAGGAGGAGGAGGATGCTGGCGGGGCAGCTCAGGGAATACATCCCACAGGAATCATAGGATGAATCACAGACTGGTTTGGGTTGGAAGGGCTCATCCACGGGCAAAGACACCTTCCACTAGACCGCGTTGCTCCAAGCCCCTGTGTCCAACCTGGCCTTGAACACCGAAGGACAGCACAGAGGGTTGCATTGATGGAGTGTTGTGACCTCAAGCTAAATCTGGCCTTGGCCAAGGTCCTGCTGCTGCCTGTGAGGGTTTGGTTTGGCTTTGGTTTCTGGCTGGTCTCTAATTGCCCCATGGTGCTCAAAGAGTCTGTGTTTGGGAAGTGATGAAAAAGTCCATGCTGGAAAATGCAGCAGTGGGGACAGACAGCTACAAAATGTCTGGGAAAAGGGGCATTTTGTCATTCCAAGTGATGCCTGAGATGTAATCACCCTCCCTGGACCTCCATGGCTGGGATTCACCCTTCTCCTCTCCCCAGGCTCACAGATCAGCTGCTTCTCCCCCACCAACTTCACTGGGAAGCAGTCAGCCTATGTCGACACTGCTTGCTGGGACTCCCTTATCCACCACGGCTTGGACACCGAGGGACACGCTGTCACCAAGTCCCTGTGGGTTCTCAAGGTACATGTCCAGCTCACATCTGGGTGTCCTCAGGTCCCACCCGGGTGTGCAGCAGAGCTGAAACAACTCCTCTGCTTATCTCCTTCCCTCAGGTCTTCCCCTACTCGCTGCTGGTGGTGGCGGTGCTCATGTACCTGCCATACCTGCTGTGGCGTTATGCGGCCGCCCCTGCCCTCCACTCCGACCTCCTCTTCATCATCGACGAGCTGGACAAGTCCTACAACCGCTCCGTGCGCCTGGTGCAGCACATGAGGAAGGTGCAACAGGCCAGCGCTGAGCCGCAGCGCTTCTGGGACGAGTACGAGAGGTGAGGCCCTTGGGAAGCTTCCCAGTCCCACTGGCGCCCTCTCCATGTGGTGGTGTGGCCACGTTTGGGATGGGCTTTGAGGAAGGGGCTTGGTTGGGGGGTGGCTCTAACTCCCCTCTGTGTCCCCTTTGTCCCCAGGGCCCGCCAGGAGAGGTATTTTGAGTTCCCGTTGCTGGAGCGCTACCTGAGCTGCAAGCAGCACGCTCACTCCCTGGTGCTCATCTACATCCTGAGGAACCTGCTGCTGCTCCTGTTCTTGGCTGCCACCTGCCTCTACCTGGTCTTCCTCCACCTCAACATCTTCTTCCAGGATGAGTTCAACTGCTCCATCAAAACGGGGCTGCTCCAGGCAGAGCCCCACATCCCACCGCTCATCCCCTGCAAGCTGGTCTTCTTCTCCATCTTCCAGCTCATCAGCCTCTCGGTTGGTGGTGTCTACGTCCTCCTCATACCCGTGGCCATCTACAACGCCCTGCAGCTCTGCCAGTGGGACAAGGGGCTGCTCTCTGTCTATGAGATGCTGCCTGCCTTTGACCTGCTCAGCCGCAAGATGCTCACCTGCCCCATCAACGACCTCAACGTCATCCTCCTCTTCCTCCGTGCCAACATCTCCAAGCTCACGTCCTTCAGCCGCCTCAACGCCGTCAGCGCCCTGAGGGAAACCACCACCAACAAGGAGGACATTGACACTGTCATTGACTTCATGACACTGCTGGCAGGGCTGGAGGCCACCAAGCCCAAGCACCACGCTTGTGCCCCCGATGGCAGCACACCCCAACCCAACAGCGAGGCCCCAGGTATGCGTTGGTGGTAGAGATGACTTCTGTGCTCTCCTCTTGGCTCCCACATCCCAGGTCCCACCCTGGGGGTGAGGCTGGGTCCATCTGCTGCTAAAGCCCTAAACCCTCAGTTAACCAAGACCTTCAGGTTTTGGTGGGGGGGTGGGACTTGAGGGGCTGAGGGCTCCATTTCCAGCCAGGAATGGGCTCCGGCAGCCAGGATGCGATGCTACTGCGAGCCCACGCGTGGGCAGGAGTTGCTATAGGAACGGAAAGCAGAGAGTTTGGCACTTCAATCCAAGCTCCGGGCAAAGCCCGACCCCCCCAGCAGTGGTTTCTAGGCTCTGGGAGACAGCTCATCCTGGCAGGATGGGAGCCAGGAGGCCTGGGCTCCTCTCCTGGCCCTGGGGGCTTTGGTTTCCAAAGAGAAAACCACCAAACCCCCCCACTGCATTTAGCATCCCTGTTGGCATGGCAACCACAGGGCTAGCACAACCAGCTCCTGGGCTAGTGGCACACTGGTGGTGGAAGCCCAAGACCCCAGTTTGTGATCACCCCGATAATTAACTTCCTCCTCTTTGTCTAGAAACGAAGCCTGGAGTGGAAGCAATGGGAAAAGCCTCCCGGGACTCGCTCGGCTCTGCCTGATCCCAGGAGCAGGCTGCAGGCAGAGCAGCTGGGATCCAGTTGGAGCCAGTTCCTTACTGTCAGCGTTCCTCGAGCGCATTAAACTCTGGTTTGGAGACAGCCTGGTGGGGTGATGTCTGTAATGTGACAGCAGTGGCTGGGGAAGCAGTGGCTGGGCTGAGCTTCCCAGTGTTATTCCTGTGTTTGGGATTCCCCTTTTTATGGTTTTCCAGCATAAAAGGGTTAAGGAAAGGTTTCAATGAGATATTGGGAGGAAGGTTTTTCCCTGCCAGGGTGCAGAGCCACTGTCAGATGTCTTATTCCAAGCGCTGGGTGCCACATTTTCCTGGTAATGCAGGAGGAGGGTGGGAATGGAGCACTTAAGGGATGCTCCTCTGAAGGAAAAGAAGGATCCAGGAATAACTCGAGCTGGTTTATTAACTCTTTATTAACAGCAGGAGGTGGAAGGCACCTCTGCAGCTCCGTGGCCCAGCCCCACTCTGACCCTTTGGTTGTGGTCCCACCACAGGCTGGTCCTGGACCCTGTGAGCACCCTGCCCTGGGGGTCAGCACCCCATGTCCCTGGGGGGGACCAGGACCAGCTGGAGGGGTTCAGCTCCCATCCTGCTGCTTGTCTTAACAGAATTCTTCATTAATTTCCTTTTAAATTGCCTATTTTTTCCCCCTGCAGCCTTGACTTCAGGCCAAAGAGGAGCTGGAGATGTTTAATTAGGGAGGCTGTAATCAAGCCAGCTGCCTCCCTGAATCGGGAGGGCACCGTGCCAGCAGCCTGGAGCCACTCGGAGAGGCCTGAGCTCCCTCCTCCAGCCCCTAAATCCTTTGGGAGAGTCCTAAATCCCCCAGGACAGCGAGGAGTCGGGGTGGCGGAGCAGCAGCTCCATCTCCCCAGCTCTGCTGGAGCTCCTCAGGGTCTCCAGGAGGAAGGGGGGTGCGGGCAGGCCCTGGGTGTTATAGAGGGCACAGGCCTGGTACTCACAGGGCCACTCAGCCCAGGCATAGCGCAGGGCCAGCACCAGTGTCCCGCAGCCAACCAGGGCCAGTGTCACCGTGTGGGACCCCACTGCCACCACGGGAGCTGGGAGCCACCCGCACAAGGACACCGGGCTGGAGCAGCACACCTAGAGAGGGGAGAAAGCTCCCCCTTAGCATGGGCTTCACCTTGCAGCCACGGGGGGAAGCTTTTCCCCTCTCCTCACCTCGAATGCTGGCATGTCCCTCCGGTGCCAGACAAGCTGCTGGCTGTAGGTGATGTTCAGCAGAGCCCTGGTGACCTCCAGGACAGCCCGGGTCGGGAATGGCCCCTGGAAAACCACGTTTTTGTCCCCATAAGCCACAGCCCTGGCGCCCAGCTGCAGACGATGCGCCACGTTCTGCTTGTCCCGGGGGTGGATGCTGCCAGGGAAAAGGAGGGAGGTGGGGTTGGTGTCCTGCAGCTCCAGCTGCATCCTACAGCTGCTGTCCTACAGCTTCATCTCAGCCTGACAGGCAGAGAGCTGGGCTGGATCAGCTGGAGAAGAGAAGGCTCCTTAAGGGGAGACCCTAGAGCAGCTCCAGTGCGTAAAAGGGCTCCAGGAAACCTGGAGAGGGGCTTGGGACAAGGGATGGAGGGACAGGACAAGGGGAATGGCTTTAACCTGCCAGAGGGGAGACTGCGATGGGCTCTGC